CGCTCTAAGGGGGCCATGACCTAGGGGCCATACTGGTTGTGAGATGCAAGATCAGAGTACCTGGAGTACCTGTGAGTCTTGTGTGCCTTAATCTGCAAGATGAAGAGCTTGGATAGGATCAAGCCACCCTCATGCAGGCAGCGCTTAAGACTTTGGGTCTGTCTGCTTCACCTCTCTAGTGTTTCTGCTTGCCATACCTTCTCTAAAGTTTACTTTAAAACTTCATAGCACTAGAGTAAATATTGCAAGTAGAAGGCAACAGCAGCAAAACCCAGCAGAATGCAAACAAAATGGTGTTATAATATTGTTGCCAAATACTGCTGTGTGCCAAGGCTCAGAGTCTGAGGCCTGTTCATACTATGTGAAGAGGGGAAATTAGCACATGCTGGTCAGATGGTAATAACATGCTCGCACTCACACGAGACATTCTGCACTCGCAGGACCATGAGAGTTGAACTGAGTTATTCGTAGCACTCACACGAGACATTCTGCACTCGCAGGACCATGAGAGTTGAACCGAGTTATTTGTAGCATTCACACAAGACATTCTGCACTCGCAGGACCATGAGAGTTGAACCGAGTTATTCGGAGCTGTGTATATGGGTAGCATCGGCCATTTGGGGGTACTCCAGCACCCACTCCTTACTTTGGGAAACACTAGATTCCATCACAGACCTAGAAGGGAACTTGAAGGGTATCTGCCCCACCCATCATTTATAAATAGATGAGCTGGGCCCGGTACGGAAAGGCTGCTCACACCCCGGCCCTAGATGTGTAACATCAGTGCCATACTGCGCTTATGCAGTGTCATAGCGACTGGCCTTACCAGGGTGGCCATGGGACCCCAGCCACAGCTAGGTCACACATAGACCACCTTTTTGGACTGTAGTCAGTCTGTTAAGCTCAGTTCTAATATATCTGTGCATGTTTTTGGACTGGCCCTCTAGTGGCCAGTCACATTTTTTTTAAAGTCACTTGTGAATAGACTCTGGTGCCTTTGAAACATTCAGATTCCTCCAAAACACTTCTGTTACTCTCTCAGATCCACAAAGAAAGTGAAGTTGCTCCTTCACGTAGGTTGGAAGAGGTAACACATATAACAGACACACATTGTGCCCTTTCAGAGTCACACAAGAGGTTTGGGTGTCAGTTATACTTTGAATTTTTATCAATAACCCTCTGATAAAGCTGGACACCAAAAAAAAATTTAGTTCAAGATGGAGATGGCACCAAAAGAGATTAAAAAAGTAAAATATACTATTTTAATGTCCTGGTCTTCCCCTCCCAAAAAAGATTATCATATTAAGTTCTTAGAAAGAGCAAGGGCTGGGTGTGGTGGTACGCACCTGTAGTCCCGCCACTGAGGAGGCTGAGGCAGGAGGATCATTTGAGCTCAGGAGTTTGAGGTTGCAGCAAGCTGTGATGCCACTGTCCTATAGCTGGGGTGACAGAGTGAGACTCTCTCTCACAACAAAACAAACAACCCTCCCTTACAACATGAGGCCTTAAGGTACTAGTACTTTTTTTTCCCTCTCCTCTCTAGGTTCACCCTCAAATTGAATACCATAGTCCTTACTCTAACCTCTCTCTCCCCCACCTCCCTTTACCTATTCCTGAGTAGGAGGTCCGACGGCTTGGCCCACAATTACTTGGAGTTACCTCTAGCTGCTTCAGATAAGCTGTGTTTGGTACATCTGTCAACTATTGCTGCAAAACAGCCCACCTTTCCCCAACTCAGCTGCTTAAACTAACAAGCATTTATTTTTGCTCACCAGTCTCCTGGTCAGCTGGGTGCTTCTTGGGTTGGGTGGGCTCACTCCCACGTCTGCAGTTAGCTGAGTTTGGGCAGGAGGCTCTCCTGTACCTGCTGTTCCTGGCTCTGTTTCTCAGTGGGCGTAAGGTCTTTCTCAACACCAGCCTCATATCTTCTCCCTGCACCCTGGCTGGGGTCTGTCCATCATGGTTCTTTCAACAAAAGGTTGAATGTGGGAAGAGTTCTCATGGGCCAGCACGGGTTGCAGCCGGGTGCTCTGTGTTGAAGCCCACCACAGTTTACCCTTTTAACTACGCATCCCTCCATTTTCCTCCCCCTTTACGTCACACACAGTTGTGAATGTCTTTTGTCTTGTTCATCTCCTGAGTGGGCAGTAAGGTTTTGGGAGCAAAGAACTCATTGCCTTTCCTCTGTTGTATCACCAGCATCTAGTCCAAAGCATTATGCTTAATAAGTGCTAGGTAAGTATTCAGTGACTGATTAAATGAGTGAATTGGCTCACGGCCTGTAGCACAGTGGTTATGACACCAGCTACATACACCGAGGCTGGTGGGTTCAAACCCAGCCCAGGCCAGCTAAACAACAATGATAACTGGAACAACAACAACAGAATAGCTGGGCATCGTGGCAGGTGCCTGTAGCCCCAGCTACTTGGGAGGCTTAGGCAAGAGAATCTCTTAAGCCCAAGAGTTTGAGGTTGCTCTGAGCCGTGACGCTATGGCACTCTACCAAGGGCGACGTAGTGAGACTCTCAAAAAAAAAGAGTGAATGGATGAATGACATTATTGATGAAACCAGGTAGAGGCACAGTGAGGTTGTGATGACCCCACAGAAGTAAATATAATAAAAGAACTGGAGTTTCCCCTATTTATTTTTGTGCTATCACTTTAAGCCCCATTGAACCCCAAACAGTGTGCAGACATGGTCTGGTGGGCTTAGTTCTTACAGTGCCAATGTTCACTTAGATTTTAACTCATTTCACCAGATACTCCGGGTTTGTCTCTGGTTGCCAATGCTCGGCTTCCCCAGGCAGTGGCTGGGTTGGGAGAAGCAAGATCCAGGAAGATGTGGGAGGGGTCTCTAGCGTCTCACGTATTTTCCCTCTTGATTTACTAGACTCGGATTCCTAGTGTCTTATAGCCCCCACCAGGTGATGTTCAGTGCCCTAGAATCACACTTGTTCCTTTTGACCTTGTGTACATTACTCGATGCCAGGGCACTTGATGCCAGGGGACACTGTGAGCCAGAGCCTTTATCTCCCTGTGAGTATGTCAACAGCTGTTTCCAAGGTTAGAATAAAGGTGAAAGTGATGGTGGGGGAGGTTCTTAGCCTCCTTTCTACAAAGTGTCAAGAGGAGAATTGGATTAATGGATATTTATCTAATAAGCTGTCTTGCTGGCACAGACTAAGAATTTTAAAGATGCAGCCACATAGCCTTGATATTTACAGCTATTCTTTTGTGAGGGAGGGGGACATCAACATTTTAGATCCTCGGGCAGAGCAGCGGGTCTCAGCCCTGGCTGCATGGCTAGTCACGGGGAGCCACATAGAGGTGCCAGTTTTCCGGGGAGCCTGATTCCATGTACGAGTGCCAGTTTCGTGGGTCTGGGGTATAGCCTGGGACTCAGGATTTGTAATCTCCCAGGTAACTCCAGTATGCAGCCAAAGTTGA